AAAAAAAAAAAAAAACAGAAAAAGAAAGAAAGAAAAAAAGACAGGAAAAAAGGAAAGGAAGGAGAAGAAGGCCCTTAACTCCTTTGGGATCGGGGGCTCCGGCGGTTCCCTGTCCCCAGCAGTCCCCCCCGAGCCCAGCCCGCGTGTCCCCCCGCTGCCCCCGGCTCATTTCCCAGCGCGGAGAGGGGCAGCCCCTCGGCTTTCATCTCTTTGTATGTATTTGGGGGAGCGGGGGGCGGCTCGGGGGGCCGGCGGGCTGAGGCAACCGCCTCCCCCGGGGTGTTTGTGGGGAGGCAGCAGCCGAGGGGACGGAGCGAGCCGGGGGGTCACCGCTCGACGCTGCCCTTGAGAGAACGGGGCTCCCCCCGCGCCACCCGCGCTTGGTCCCGAATCATTTCTCTCTCTCAGAGCCGTGCGTCCGCCCCGGGCTCCTTCAGGTTTCTGTTCCAAGACAGCTTCCAGAGGATTTTCCCTCCTTATTCTCTTTATTACCTGCTTAATTCTTTCCTCGTTTTTCCGTTTTTCTCTTTACCTCCCGGTTTTTCCCCCACTGCAGCTCCCTCTCTTCCTCTCCACGACTTAATAAAAAGCAAAGCAGCTTAACGCACGCCTTTTTTTCCCCACTGCCAGGCAGCCCTGGAGCCTGGCGGCAGCGGGGCGCTCCCGATGCCCGCTGCCCGCAGCCGGAGGAGCCCCGAGCACCTCCTGGGCCGCCGTGCGCGCTGCGTGCGGGCAGTGAGGGCTGTGCGGGCAGTGAGGGCTGTGCGGCTGTGGAGACACCGCTCTGCGAAAGAAACCGTGCAGATCTGTGGCGATTTCTGTTCAGCGAAGCTGATGCTGAAATAACAGCAACAAATGAGAGAGAGGGAGATTCCAGGATGGAGCGGGAAACGATGGAAATGAATTTTCTTTTATTATTATCTTTTCGTCAGCGCCAGGGTGCGGGTTCCGGGGCTACCGACGGGTCGGTTCGGGGAACGCCGCGCGGCCCCTCCTAGCCCCGGGCTGCAACGAAAACTAAATTGGGTCCCGACGGAGGTTGATGCGCAGCCCGCGGAAAGGAATGCAATAAACCCCTCTCTCTAATGGCCGATTTGTGCCTCTGGGAGCGGGCGGTTACCACGGGAATCGTTACCGAGAGAAAAGGCGTACGCCAATACCTGGCAGAGTGGTGGTGGTGGGGAATAACGGGAAACCGCTTATCCCGAGAGTTCTCCTTCTCCCGAGGTGACTTTTCTCTGAAGCCCTCCCGGCTATTTTTGAGGAAGACCCGCCAGCCCCGTTCCTGTGCGCTGAGCCCCGCGAACAGAATCGCGACGCTCGGCCGCCGGGCGCCTCTCCCTGCCGCCGCCCATCCCGCACGGGACGGCCCTGTGCGGGGCTCCGAGAGGTGGCGCGGGGTGGGAGGGCCGCGACCCCATCCCATCGTTCTTCCTTCGAGTATCTCCGAATCTGCTTTGTCCCTACAAAGAATACGTACAAGAGGGAAAAGCAGAAGAGCGGCCAAAAAGTCTGAGCTCCGCTGGGCTATTCACGAAGCGTGCTTTTGTGTGTGCTTTAGATCGGGCATAACCGCTGCTGGTTTGGGAGGCGGCACTCCCGAGGGTCACCTCCCGCACGGGGACGCCCAGGTAGGAGCGATCCGGCTCCGAGCGGCAGCGGTCCCCAGATCGGTCCGTGTCGGGACCATTCACCGCGTCCTCCTCGGAGACCGTGCGTGATCCCCTCCCGGCAAAACCTCCGAAAGAAGCGGGCTGCCGGGGGCGGCCCCGCAGGATCCTTCCCGAGGGCCGTTCGCTTTAAGTGGGTGCAGGAGCGGGTACAGCTCGGGGTGAGGCACAGGGCGAGGGGCGGGCGATGGCGGGTGGATGTTACACCGCGACCTCTGCGAAAACGACCCCAGCCCGTCTCCTGCTACTCAACCACCCCGGCGTGTGCCACGGGCCGGCCGCAGGCCGCAGCACCCGCCGGTGCCGCCGCATAAGTGGGGAGAAGCCCGGAATACGCTCCTCCGCTTTTCCAGCTCACGCCGGGGGAATCCCAGGGTGAGGCACCGCGGGGGTCGGGGGGCCGCTCCGGGACCACTGCTCCCTCCTGGAGCCCCTCGCGGTGTGCGAGGAGCGGGCTCACCTCGCCGGAAGGACTGCAGAGACGCGGGCACCTTTCACCCCTCTCCCCCGCCCTTTGTCAGAGCCTCGCTCTTGGAAACCGTCTCCGGTTTATTTTCTCATTGAGTTATTTGGCGTGGTCACTTCAGAGCTGCGGGCTCCTTTTGTACCGGACCGAAATCTGAAGGTGGCCTATTTATAACGGCACTGAGAAGGAGGAGAGAGGGGAAAAAGTCCTTGTGCTAGGCTTCCTAAAGTGTTATTTGCATTATTAGTGTTATTATTATTATTTTTCCAAGGGGGCGAAGGTCGAGTCTTTATTTCAGGAGCGGACTTTGCCCAGCAACAGCCCCGCTGCACCTCTCGGCTCTGCAGCGCACCCGGCACCGGGCGGGGCTGTGCTCGGAGGTACACGTAGAATACACACATTGCCTCTATCCGTGCAACGTCGATCATTATTAAAACGCGTTCCTGGCGGCATGAGGGAGTTTATATTGGAATAGAGCTGACCCCAGGGAGAGAGCAAGAGAAGGCTCGGGCCGGGCCGAGCTGCCCCTGCCCCCGTGGGGTCGTGCAGACACAGCGCCTCATCACTCCGAAGTCCCTCCGCTGCATCTCAGCCCCGTGCTCCGGACCGATCTCCGGGTCTGCGTTGTGTGCATCCGAACCTGGCACCTGCCTGAGCCCTCGGGCACGGCCCCCAGACCCGCCCCGCCCCGTTTCCTAGCAAAACTTAAAAAATATATATTATTAATAATGATAATTTATTTGAGTCTTCCTTTTTTTTTTTTTTTTTTTTTTGCTTCGTTTTCAATTCAAGGCCGAGTCGCTCTAGGGTGAAACTATGGACCCTTCTCTACGCTCTGCTCCCAGGATGCCGTGCCCGGGCCCAGCCCGAAAGTTCCGTCCCTTTTTCCCCACCTCCATTATTCTCAGAAAATCACGGAACCGAAAATCAGCGCCTTTGGCATCACGGGGCCCGCGATGACGCCATCAGGCGGGAGCCAATGGTAGAGCCTCGTAGGGGCGGCCCCGCGCCCCTCTCCGCGCTGCGGGACGCGGGTGGGCAGCGCAGGGTTCGGCCTGGGGAGCCAAAGTGCGCTGCCGAGCACCAATGCCCGTCAGCTGGGAGGGCATCGCAGGAGCGGAATTATCAGTGGCTATCTGCAAATTCCTTCCCGCAGGCAAAAATCCACTTGCTATTAATTTCCTCGACACTTTCCACTGGCGCGTGACCTCGTCAGACCTCTCTCTGAAGTCAGGGGTTATTTTTTGATCGAATCCTCAGCCCATGTGTGGCACGGAACCGCCTTGGGTTCCTCAGGACCCTCGGCACGGAGTCCCGGGTACGGGGCGAGGGCAGCCCCCGAAGGGGCCGCAATGTATCGTGAGTGAGGCGTTTCCCCTCATGGGAATGTCCTCTTTGCCCTGCGCACGAAACAAAGAGGTCGCGGAGGACGGGGTTCCGAGCGCAAGGCAGCCGGCGGCACTCGGCGCACCTGTCAGCGCGGCTCCCCCTGACCTTTCCAAGTCGGGCAGAGCCGGGACGACCCGCGGCGGGGGGGAGGACGGGACGGGACGGGAGAAGAGGCCGAGTGA